AAAAAAACCTCATCATTAACGTTGAAAAAGGGAAAAAAAACCAAGGGAAAAAAAAAAGAAAAAGAAAAGAAGAAGAAAAAAGAAGCGTACCCAATTGAAGGACGAGAAGCAACCTGCATACAAGAGAAAAATATCATATCTGATCAAAAACACTAGAAAGAGAGAGAGAGTTATGTCTACATATATATATATATATATGGCAAAGATCTCACCTTCATGTAATAATTTCTAGACAGCGTCAAAAGCCCTAAATAACAGGCTCCTTGTCCATCAAAATATAGAGAGACAAGTGGACAATCAAGAAGCGGACAGAGAAGAAGAAAGAAAAGGCAAGGAAGAGAATAACACAAAAGTAGAGAGAGAAACGCTGATGAAAATGCAAAGAACAGAACACTGACGCTTCAGGGGAGGGGAAAAAAGAGCAGTTGTGAGGGAAAAAAAGAAACGGCAAATAACAAAGACGAAAGCTTTCATCGGTAAGAATGTGAGGGGAGCTACAATAAACCAACCGTGATTTCTAATATACTTATATATGGAGACTAGTTGCAGCCACGTGCTTCGCACCTGTGGGTCTTGCTGTGAGAGTTAAATATAGTGTTTCGGGTTTTTTGATTATTGAATAGTTTTTATTGAAAGAATAATTTGAGTTTTTGAATTTCACTTTTAAAAATAGATTTTAGTTATTTTTATTTTCATTTATAACAAATTATAAGGAAAAACATGAATTTATTTTTAAACATGATATGGCTATGATGTTGAAAATAAATAATATAATTAGTAGAATTGATATATTTAAAAAAGAAGCACCATAAGCTACGGTCATGCTAAAAAATAAAAGCAAGAAAGAAAACCAATTCCCGGTCAGGCTATGAGAAAATTTAACAAAAGGTTCCATTTTCATAGACAGTGTGCTCATTAGCAAAAAAAACTGGGAGCGTGATCTACCTTATATCTCAAAAAAAGAAACATTTACACCAAAATTCAACATCAAGTATCTTTTAGTCAAATACAGTTTCTCTTTTTCACCAAGACGGATGAGATTGAAAAAATAATATGAAATTAGAGGAGCATACTGAGCAACCTGCATACCTTAAGAAGAAAAAATGGATGCAAGTACTGGTAATAAAAAGAATTAGACAATCTTCCAAGTAATTACAATAGAGGCATGACCAAAAACTTACTAGCATATTATAGGGAAGTTGACTAAGTAAAACAAATCAATTCAAGCGGTGTGTAATAAACCGAAGAACAGAAACAATAACTGTTAACACAAGCTGAATAAGAACTTCTTCCCTGATAACATAATTTATTATTTTTTTAGTGATTGTTCACATAAGTTATGAGGATTGAAGACAAGGGATTGATTATACCTTGGAAGTAAGGTTGCCTAATTTGCTTAAAGAATGGCAGCCACATGATTCTAACTATGCAAGCCAAAACTTTCTCAACCTGCTTGCTCGGTAGCCAAAGAAACTCCACAAAAGGAAGGCATTTGCAATTTTCATGTTTCTTTCTCCATTTCCACGTCCAATTTGATCATTAAGAAATTAAATAAAAAGAAGTACCTATGCGTCCTCTCAAGATATTATTATGAGATCAGCTACACAGCAATTATAGAGAAAAAAAACTAGCCTTGAAGGCAAAAACTACGACTCATGCAAATTAGAATTGTCTTTCATTTTAGGATGAAAAAGTTAATAAAAGAAAGGGAAACCTTGCTTCCAAAGGCAACAAAATTTAATTTATCACTATCACATATAGTAAACAACTACACAACATGAATATAAAAGAACATTGTAAAACTAATATGCAGTGACTGAGAATTATAGATAGGAACTACAGGGAACTCAAATCTATGTAAGAGTAATAGAATATGGATAATAGATTTTAATGATATAAGGTTACGGAAAGAACTACTAGAAAATCATCTATTTTAAAACAAGAACAACCGTTAAGATATAATGTTCATAACAAGCAAGTAACTAAATAACGTAATATCTAAGACATATACCTTTAAAAAAAACAATCAAATCATCTGTGCAAAAGGCTCAAAAGTTAGGATTTTACAAGATATTACAGCAGTAAGCAATTGTGGTCCTAACCTATTCAAAAATTGCTCAAGTTTCTCCTCGAACAAAAAACTAGTGCCATTCTGAGAAGTTTTATCAATAAAAAAGTTAAACTATTTCTTAAATTCTTGCAACACTAATCATGCGCAACCCCACCTAAAGCACACATGGCATACATTGGATTAAAAAATATTACTACAAACAAAGGAAATTTCACGTCAAGAACAAAACATTTGCGGGCATATTTTTTAATTAAAATACGAAGAGCAACAAAATTATCCACTCTCTCTCAGAAGAACTAATAAGATGGGCTTAGTAAGGTACAATCTTGTCTAACTCATATCATATCCACAAAACTTTCAATTAACAGCTTATAAAAGTTCGGAACTATATTAAAAATAGCAGTTGGAGAGAGGGGGAGAGAGAGAAAATGTTAAAAATTTGCAACAAAAATCATCTTATCTTATTGAACAATCAAAATTCAGGTAAACCAAAAACCAATGACAATAATCAACAAATATACGTAATGAAAACAAGAAATGGTAGTAAACAGTTAATGAAAAACCTGTTGAAATCCACGTGCATCCCACGTGTGACCCTCAATGCTAAAGTTGAATGCAGTGTTTTGACATTTTTTTTTAGTTGTTAAAAATGTTTATTTAAAGATTAATTTTGACTTTCTCGAATTCATTTTTTTAAACTGATTATAAATACTGTCATTAGGAATTTGTAATGCGAAAAACAACAAAAGAGCTAGAACGAGGACAAACAATATAATCTTTAAAATGTAATCACAGTCAAACAACTTAACATACTGAAAACAAGTGTCTTTCACGACCTTTGAAACTCTCTGTAATTGATGCATCATATATTCCCAGATGGCTGAAGACTCTTCCTACCAAGAAAGAAAGTCTTCGCATAATTAATTGAAGATAGTTCCCTGTACCAACATCTGCATTTTATTTCCCACAATGACAACTAAGAATTAAACATCTCAAGAGAAAAACGTATAAAAAATATATTGCAAGTGACAAAAGACAAAAGTTAAAGAGAATTTTATCGTAAAATAGAATAAAGAATGTCAATTGACTTGTCCTGTAATAGTTAAAGAAAGCACCGCTTTTCTGTATAAACCTTGCATCAGCTAATGCCATGCCTTCAATTGGTCTATGAGAAACTAATGCACCAAACTTTGTGAACCTGTGAGACAATTACAAAGTAGCAGCTTTTATGGAGGAGTTTAGGTTTGTAGACTTGGTTTTAGAGTTTTTACAGTAGAAACGAATGCAGGCAATCTTTCACACAATATATAAATGATGTAGCTTTTAGAAAAGAAATTTTGTAACCATGTTTTCTTGCAATTAAAATGCCTTAACTGTTATGAAAGAAAAATACATCCTAGATTGAAACTGAGTGATAAGAACAAGAAAAAGGGAGAAATAAAAGAAAAGTGAGCCTTTTTGTTTCTTATTAAACCAGAATACCGAAAAGGGATTCACTTCATAATACTTTCACTAGTTAAATACCACTCCTAACTCTGTTATACAGAAACCAATTTCACAAGAAACGAAGGAAAAACAAAAAAAAAAATGAGAGAGACAATGATCCAAATCAGGCATGACCCTCGATAATCATATGGAAATAGGAAGCAGGCAATGGCATGCCCCATGGTGGTGTATATTTTGAACGTGAAATTGAAAGACCAATTAAGCAAACGATGAGATGGTTTTGAAGCCCAACCTCCAAAAAACTAGAGAGGCAGTGAATCATTACAGCTTTGTAGAGCCAAATTGAGAACGACATTACAAAAAGTCAAAGGAAAGCAGAAAGTTTTCTCCAGCCAATTTTCCCATCATATCTCTCCTTTCCCAAACACATCCATCTTTGTTTTCTTCCTATTCTTCTCAAACCACCTCAATCACATCCCAATGCATAGTAAAAATTACACGCACAGCAAAAATACATATATCGAACACAAACACGCAAATAAAACATGTGCGCCTTATGGCGTAAAACGAGTGTTGTCGTCTTAATGGCACCACATAGTGTGCCCAAAATCAATGGCAGACCAGTTCTAACTTTGAAATTGAAGCATCTAAAAATCTAATATACCAAAAAAATCTAATACAACACTAAAAATCGGAAAAAGGGAACGCAACTTGAAGAATCATAAACTCAAGAATCAATATAAAAGATGTCTGATGGCGAAATCACGAAATGTAGTCAAACGCCAAATTTATGAAGAAAAAAGGCACCATAAGCAAATAATGAACATGTTGAAGGAACTTATACGGAAAAAGTACAACAGTAATTTTGGTCCAATGGAGAAATTAACACTTCAGAAAAAAGCTTCAAAGTAGGAAAATGTATGGAGAATCATCCAACCCAATCTTTCATTCGATTTTCCCACACTTTCTCAAGAACAAAACATGCACCAAAAAAATGGAATCAAGAAATAGAGTAGAGTTCGCCACCAAAGCGTAGATGTCGACCTCATCATTCAAGTTGATGGCGATTCTAAATAGCGAAAAGGAGAGAGAGAGAATAACACGAAAGAAGAGAAAAAAGATGAAGAAAATATAGAGAATGAAAAACTAATGCTTCAGGGGAGGGGAAAAAAGAGCACAGAAGACAACAAAATAGATAAACAAAACCTTTTGACTAGTAAGAACGTGAGAGCAGCTACAATAAACACACTCTGCATTCTAATATTCTAAAGTTACTAGTTGAGGGATGAGCATGTTCTGCTTCTAAAATTAATGCGGATTTTTTTTATCAAATTTATAGAAATATAGCTTTGTTTAGTTTTCTTCAAAAATAGTGGTCTTTTTTCTTTAAAAACAATCTCATTCAAAACTCACAAATGTCGCTAAACAACAACAGAACTAAAACCAATTAGCAGCACATCAAAACACACCCAAAAAAAAAAAAAAGGAAAAACCTGAGCCTAATAAAGTCCTAAGGTACATCATCCCTTGAAAAAAAGAAACAAGAAAGCAACATAGGGGAAAAGAAGGTTACACCGCCACTTTGCAAGGTTGAACAGAAAATTGCAACTACTAGGAAAACAGTGGGCCTCTCGACCATAGAAGCTTAAGGGCATCTGCATGTCAAATCATCATCATAACCAGTAACAAATTCCTTGAACACCACCGCTGTGTCACCTTCAAAACAGTGAAACAAACAAAGACCGCACAGTAGTGAACTTCTGTTAATGCGCATCTGTGATGTTTTCTAACTATGACCATCCTACTATTATTTTTTCCCTTTACATCTGAATTTCCCACATATTCTTTTTTTTTACTAGAGAACAATAGTAAAATTAAAATTCAAGTCGTCCATAAAATGGGATACGGTACATCCTAAAAGTTAAAATTTAAAGTCACCATAGAACAATCAAGAAGTACCATAAAAGGAGCTTCCAATATCATAATCTTGAACCTTTCAAACATTGGAAGCTTACTTCACTAGCTATTTCTCACTTCCCAACAAGAAAAAAAAAAGAAAAAAAGGCAAGGACTCACCAAAATCTAAGACCTGATGCAGATCATGGGATCCTCCATGTTCACTAGGCATGTTCTTAATGATATCAGAGTCACCTGGATCAATAATGCCTAGGCAGCATACTCTGTAGTATTTTCCACCTGCTGTTCCCAAGTCTACATTGTTGCCATTGTAGTGATGAACTCCCAAAAACAATTTTAACATGCTAAAAGTCTTCATTTCCCCAAATTTCAACAACTTTCAGAACCTCCACTACTAAACCGAATCAACTTCATCAAAAAAATGCTATGTATCACAATTTGTTATAATTATTTCATTCCCACTCTGAACTCAAATAATGCCAGGCAAAAAGTTTAATATGTAGTACTGCACCAAGAAGGTCAAGAAAAATCACACGCAACTTACTAAAAAAACGCTAAGCAAAAAAAATAAAAAATAAAAAAGAACAGAAGAAAAGAAAAAGGGAAAAAAAAGAACAGCTAACAGAAAGTCATAGGTGTATAGTGCCAAGCATGAAATTTTATTGTCTCCTAAATAAAGGAATGAACAGAAGATTTTAAAAAAGTAAGCAAAATAGAGAGACACAACAAATGGCAAAACCACATAATCACTGCTCTATCAAAACAAATTCAATTTTAAATCTAATTCCCCATACTTTCATGTAAACAGTTCACATTCAACAAAAAAGCACAATTCACAATTTAAAAATTTTAATTTAAAGACATAATGAATACGGAAAAAAGTAGAAATTAAATCATTTAGATACCATAGCTAAGGAGGTTCGTTATTTATATTGATATCCTTTGTGAATAACACCGTAAGACTGCAATAAGATTGTACTTGCAATAAATCAATATGGAGCATAAAAAATATTTAATAATATTGATGGTCTTGCAGTAGTTATAGTAAGCAAGCAAAAGCAAGGAATAATTAACTACCTTTTTTTAGCCTGCCAACGCCATAATTTCCTTAAAATCAACATTTCTAGTACGATCACAAGAGTCCTCGCCGTAAGGAGTATCTAAGAAGATTTTAATAGCAAATGTTAATTAAAATATTATCTTACTTGTATATAAAACCAGTAAGAATTTCAACAAAAATTGGGTGAATCCAAGGGATCATATCTTTGCTTTTAAAATGCCCCTATCTGCAACACCAACACTTGCAATAATTTAATTGATCTAATACCACTCACAAAGTTACGAAGATAGTCAAAATCAGAGATAAAAGTGGTGGCAACATTCAAGCTACAACCAATGCCAATGTTGGACTAAAACCCAATTGTAATATGGGAGTTACAACTTTAAATAAAATTGAAGTTAAGATCAACCTGGGATTTACAACTTAAAATAAAATTGAAGTTAAGATCAACCGCAACATTAGAGCTCGAACCAGTGGTAACAGTAGTCAAACGCCAATGGTAATGCTGGAGCTAAAAATATCAGTACTATTGAAAAACAGATGTTTCAACATAAAAATAATAATAATAATAATAATAAGATATACAAATCTTACCCTTTAAGAAGCTCAGTAGAGATCTAATTTTGAGTAAAATTTTCTGGCCAGTTATCTCACAAAATATCACACAAGCAATCATCCAAAGGTTAATGAATTGTTAGCTCAAAAACTATACCATCTCCTTTCAAAACATGGTCAAGTGTAGAATGATTAAAATTAAGTGTAATCTGCAAGCTAGTTTCTACCAAAAATCCTTAAATGCGCCAACAGGTAATCTGTAGATTTTTTAATGATTGCATTTCCATCATTGTTAGTCCTTTAGATTGCCTAGCACAATTTCAGATAGTCAACAGACAAACATATTCCATACCAATTGAAATAGAAACCAAAACGTTAACTGTTCCATCCGTCGATATGACACAGCGTATTAACAATCACAAAATCCCCAAGCTCAGAATCCAAGGGAAAAGTTAAAAGAAAAGAAAACCAATAATCGTCCATGAAAAAACATAAATAAATTAATCGTTCACAATATTTATCCTTGAAGTATTTTTAAATTGAATGGAATGAAATGCCAAAAGAAGAATTGGAACCTGTTGAAAAACATATTTTTCCGTTAAAAAAAACATATTTTGAAGAAGAGTTAAAAATATATAAAATAAATAAATAATTGAATTGACAAAAAGAGGGAAAAAAAGAAAAGAAAAAGAAAAAACACAAGCAGACAGAGAGAAAGACGAGAGAAACAAAAAGTACCAGATAGAACAGAAGCTTCAAGCTCTGTAAGCATGGCAGAGAATCCTCTATAAAAGTATGATTGTTATTGTGTATTATAGACATTCTCTCATAATTTTCTTCGCTGCAAAAATAATATACAGAAAATACATATAGTAACATAACAACAATATTTATGACAAACAAAACGAAAATAATAAGAGTTTCATTTGTGTTATTGTATATATATCCACTATATATTATTAAACCTTGGTTTAATAATAGAAGACAATAATTGCAGATAAGTAGATCTGCAACTTTAGCATCATCTCGGTTTCCATTCAGCGATGGATCTGAAGCTCCCATATAAACAACGTAATGCTGTCAAAACAAAAAACAAAAGATAAGTTAAAAATTGTTCTCAACCGACAATTTTAATTGATCAGGAAACTCTCCGTATATCAGAAGAGAAGTCTCATTCATTTTTTATATCTCACTCTAATTCTTGTTGCTGAATTGCACCATTTTCTCAGCAACCAAACAAGAAAAAAGAAATTTTGATGGGAACCCATTTGGAGAATTTACCTTAATAACATCGTGATTTGATGCAGAGGCCCAAGAAATGTTGATGAGAAGCTATGGCAGAGAGAGAAAAGAAAATAATATATGAAAGTTAGTCATGTACATGTATATATATTCAACAGATCAAAATTCACAAAACTTAGATCAAAATTACAAACTCAGATTCGAAAGAAGAGGAGTTCTATGGCGGCATTTAGTCGAACACTTGGAGTGAAGTTAAGGTACGATAAACGACAAAGATGCAAATCGGAATTGAAGAGATCGTCGCGAAGCCGGAATGTTGTCGGCGATTCTGAACGTTGGATTCACCGCAGCGATGATAGAGAGAGGAAAAGGCTTTCCCAGCCGGCCACATCGGAACATCTCCGGCGAAAGCTGCATCAAAACTCAAAAAGATCAGAGAAGCAAAATCGAGAAATCGAAGCCGAAATCGCGGCATCAAAACTCAACAAAACCAAATAAGCAAAATCAATTAAATCGCGGCAAAAAGTCAACACAAAACTAGAAAGGGGAAATGGAGAAATCGCATCCGGAATCGCGACAAAACCAGTCTTCTCCCTCTATTCTTCTCCGGCGATTCGCGGCAGAAATCTCCAACGAAGAACGACGGCGGCTCAACATCTCCGTCGCAGCTTGATATCTCCAGACGAAGACCGAGAAAAAGAGATCAATAGGGGGAGAGAGAGAGAGAGAGAGAGAGAGAGAGAAACTCGGGGAAGGAAGAGAGAGAGAGGGGTGAGGAGAGATGGAAAAAGAGTGAGGCGGCTGGGGAGTTTCTTTTTTTCTTTTTTTGAAAGTGGCGGCTGGGGAGTTTCAAGTGCGGGTAAAGAAGCGAAACCCCTTCTTTACCGTTGGAAAAGAACATTGTTTCAAACGGCACCGACAACCAAGAATAGAACATTGTTTGGTTGGAGCCTCGGAGTAGGGGTGGCAATTCGTGTCACGTATCGTGTTTTGATCGTTTTTTTAAAATTTTCAGTCAATCCGAACACGACCTGTGACACGAAATTTTTTAAAAACCGCAACACGAACACGACTCGACCACTTTACGAGCTGACACGACACGACCCGAAAATGACCCGTGACACGAAATTGACCCGTGAACCCGAAATTGACACGAAAATTGTATACTTTTATTTAGTTTTTTACATATTAGAGATAACTTAAAATTCATAACACACTAAATTACAATAACATCCATTGAAATTAAGCAAATAATAGTATAAGATTTTGAGTATAACTATCATGATATCACAAGTTCATAATAAAATTTAAAATATGAAATGAAAAATATATGTATTTTTTAGTTTTTTACGAGTTTCGTGTCGTGTTCGGGTTAGGCGGGTCCAATCCGAAATTGACCCGTATTTTCGTGTCAATTTCAGGTCGACCCAATTCTGACCCGAACCTCTTTTTTCTCAACCCTAACCCGCAAAATTCGTGTCGTTTTCGAGTCGTGTCGTCGTGTCGTGACCCATATTGCCGGCCCTACCTCGGAGGGTATAAGGGTATGTTTGGAATGATAATTACCGGTTTAAATCTTAATTTGAATACATATACCAAGCAGATCCTACACACCCTAATTTTAGTTCAAATAATGTTTTTCCTCACAAAAATATGAATTTAAGAGTTTCTATTATAGTCTCACAAAATCTGAATTTTGCTTCAAATTTGAACCCACATTAGAAGAAGAAGAAGAGGTGAAAAGGAACAGAAGAGAGGTGAAAAGGAACAATTTTTGTAGTGAATAACATCAGTTTTTGTAGGAAGGAGAAGTACATAAGTAAAGAAGAAGAGAGGTGAAAAGGAACAATTTTTGTAGTGAATAACATCAGTTTTTGTAGTGAATAACATATTTTTTAAATGTTTTCAAGTACGGATAAAATCAATTCAGTACCATGTATTATAGTGAAACATGCTTATGGAACAGAGTTATCGATCATAATGTGTAAGAAGAGAGGTGAAAATGAACAATTTTTGTAGTGAATAACATTAGTTTTTGTAGGAAGAATAAGTACAGAAGTAAAGAAGAAGAGAGGTGAAAAGGAATAATTTTTGTAGTGAATAACATATTTTTTAAATGTTTTCAAGTATGGATAAAATTAATTTAGTATCATGTGTTATAGTAAAACATGCTTTTAGTATCTTATCTTTTTTATAATATTAAAGTGGTATTTTGACGTTTTTAAAAACATCTTTTTTGTATTCTGAAGTTGATTTTTGAGATATAAATGACCTTAATACCCTTCTATTTAATTAATCAAAAACTACTAGATCTAGAAAAAAATAATGAGCTTTTTTATTATGTTGTTTTGTTTTTAATATTTTAGATTTTTTAAAAAAAAAATACTGATATCTATTTAATTGATAAGAAATGTAGTTTGGACATCACATGTCCTAAAAATTAGCTTTAGGGTACCGAGAAGATATTTTTAAAAACGTCAAGGTACCATTTTAATGCTATCAAAAACACAAAACACCAAGAATATGTTTCGTTATGCTACAAGGAACCAAAATGATTTTATCCCTTTCAAGTATAACATATTTTAAATAATTAAAATGAATGGCATATTTACCTGTAAATAATTATTTACGTCGAGCATTGGCGAAGCTATGTGGGGACGAACAGGGGCAGCCACCCCCACTGACATTTTTGAAACTAAAATTTGACCCCCTACAAATCTCAATATTTCAATTTCGTCCCCACTAAAATTTTATATTTTTATACATGTCCTCACTAAATTTTTATTTTTTTTATTTTATTTCTCTATGTATTTTACGAACAACTTTGCTTATTTATATGCATGAGAGCTTTTTTTTTTTCCATCTTCATACCCTACATTTTGAGATAAAAAATCATATGCTTCATATTTTGAATTGTATCTCTTTTATAATTTTACATTTCAAATCGTGTTAATTACTTACCCATTATCGGTCAAAAATTTATTTTGGTTAGGAACAATACCCCAAGATACTCATATTTTTACAATTTTTTTTCTTATTATTTCTATTTTGTGAGGGTATTTAGGTCAATTTTTGGTCACTAAAAAATAAGAATTGAGCATAAGTTTAAAATCTAAAGACATATATACATATAGGCCTCGTTCGTTTCGCTGATTTGAGTTTAGAATTCGAGTTTTGTTACAGTAAAAAGCTCTCACAAACAGTCACATCTAACTTTTTTGCTACAGTAAAAAGCTCTCACATAAAATCACATCTCAACTCGAATTCTAAACTCGAATAAGCGAAACGAACGAGGCCATAAACTCTAAAACATCGGGTATGATTTTTTATAACCTCGAAAAGAAATAAAAAAAACTCTATAATAGGGTATTTTTATTAATCTAATCAAACCAACATTAAAGTAAAACACATGCAATTGTTTTTTTTATAGATCTATATAAACATGACATTTCAAGACAATGCCCTATTAGCAATTTTTTTTCATATTGTCAAATTCTCTAATCGTATTTGGTAATTCTTAAAAAATACTATACTACAATATTTTTTTATTTTTATTTTTAAAAAAAGTTAGTGTACCTTTATACTCCTAGTGAGATCAAAAGCTGGCTCCGTCACTGACGCCGAGTAATAAATTATTTACTAATAAATATATCATTTACTAATAAATATATCATTTACTTCAATTATTTTAGATCATGTTATTTACTTTAAAAAAAGTTTATTTTACTATATTATTTTTTCTTTCTGACAAGGTTGGCTAGACTCCTGCCTCTAATCTTTAAGGGAATGTTTTGATAATGTTTTCCTTTTTTCCTTATATTCCACCGTAACATTTTCATGTTAGTTAACGATGATGACGTAAATGTAAAGCTAATGGATTTAGATAGCATACCGCGTAATATTCTAGATTCTCATATTAAAAGGTACTGATGGCATAACACATTAACATAATGCAAGTCTAGAACGTACGAACTAATTGCTATAGCCGTGTTTTTTAATTCCCGTTGTGCCCCCAAACATTTTTTTTTTTTTTTTTTTAAAACAGGTCAACTTTACCCGCCCGCCCTCTTGCCTCTTATTTTGGCCTAACATGCCCGTACTTCTTCAAGGCTAGGGGTGTAACTCGGCCGGATAGGCTCGGGTTGAGCCTGTCTTTTGGGCCGAGCCGCACTAGTCGGAGTGAGAGAAATTTATGCCACAATACACATATTGGCCCACAAACCCGTAACCCTTCAGGTTACCTCAAGTAGGCTTGATTTTGTGGGTTGGTCGGTTTGGGCCTGAAGTTGATTGGGCAGGCCTGTGTGTTACTTCGCTGGTCTCCCGCTCGGTTACAAGAGGTCAAAAATTTCAGTTTTAATACTCTTATTGGGAAAGAAAAATGTGATGATTTCATTTCATGGACTACTACCAATTTCCAATCAAACAATTCCTTTAACTCTTCCATTCAATAAGTAAATTAGCCTAAAAATGCCTTTTTCTTAGTGCGTCTTCACTCTTCTTCCTCGACCTTCTTGAAACAATTCGACTAGAAACAAAAAACTATAAACTAACAAAAAAGAGAGTAAAGACTATCTGGAAACAGAACACGAGTAACCAACAAAAGCTAAAAACATCGACTATAATTAAACCCTAAATCCATAATCAAAACGACAAAACGAATGGTGACAGATCTGAGTCCAAATTGATTGAATCAAAATTGAAAATAAGAACAAAAGGCCAACTTGTTGAGAGAGAGCACAGGAGCAGGTGAGCTCTTTGCGGACGAGATCACCGGCGGCTGAGAACTGAGAACCTCCGAAAGGTGAATCTGAGAACAGAGAAGAAAGATAACAGGGAAGAAATAGAGAGCAGAGAAGAATGAGAGAGTGGTGCTGAGTGAGATCTGAGAAATAAGAAGAAAGAAAGAGAGAATTGAGCGGCGCGGTGTGAGAAACTGAAGTGAAGTCTGAAAATAATGTTGAGGCCTCGAGGGAGATGTGAGAGAAGGAAAGGAAATTAGGGATTACTTTTACCGTACTTAATTCGGCCGGGTCGGCCTTCTACGGGTTCAAGCGAATCCGTCCCGCCACCCGACCCGCACAGTGCGGATTTAGCATATGTATAACCGGAAAAAATTAAAAAAATTTTTTTTAACACTATATTCGGGTAGGGTAGGATCGGCTCAGGCGGGTTTGTCGAGTTCGGACTCATTTCTTACACCCCTATTCAAGACTAGGGTCCTCGATCTCCGGTCTAATTCATGGCATGAGATCTCGTATTTAATTTTAATATCTCAATTAGGATCTAATTAATTATATCATGAATTTTTTTTGTACTTAGCATGAATAATATAGTGTGATTTAATTCGTTAAACACTAAATTTTTTTTTTTTTGAGAAAAATATTAGACACCAATTAAAAAAGAAAAAATTAATATATTCATTTACACAACTTATTATATAAAAAATACTATAAAAAAATTAAATTTATATTTTATAAAAAAAAAATACTGTAATAAAAAATCTAGATCCCAAATTCATGGCCCTTTTGCTGTCTCACAAGTCACGACCCAATAAAATCATAACACATCACCTAAAAAACCAGGTCGATTAAAATTTTATCACTTTCTTTCTATCGTCTTCTTTCTCAAAACAACTCCGCCGCCGCCGCCTCTGAACCACCACCGCCACGCCCACTCCGACGGTCCGACCAAACTCTTTGACCGCCTCGTCGCCATGGCCTTCGCTCTCCAATAGCTTTGCAGCCTCATCGGATCCCACCAACCGATGTACGGCTCCGACAAGCTCGTCCTCATTCAGATTGGTTCAATAAATGGTTGCTTTGCTGGTTGGTTGGGGCTTTTGAAGACTGATAAGAATAAGCCCTAGAAAAAAAAAAATTTCTCGGAAAATAGCCGACAATGAATGGCCTTCTTAGCAGAAGCATTGTGATGAATCTGGTCAGATTCAAAGGCCTTCCCATTTTGCAGCAACTTCATGTTGAAGAAAATCTGCTTCGAACTTCCTCACACAATTGGTGTATCATCAACGATGGGACCCACCACCCAACTGTCGTCATGGGCATTTCCGGGTAATTCCAGTTCCTGAAAGTTTCTTCCTTAATTTTTTCATCCAATTGGATATTTCGAAACTAGGATTGTTTTAGGAATAGAGAATATTTTTAGTGCAATTTTCACTTGGTTCAACTTTTTTGGTTAGAAAAGTTATGAGAAATGTCTTTGAATTTGAAATTGGAGCCATTTGAAGATGGTGGTTAAATGGAGAATTTTGTTGATTTTCAGAGTTTTGATCTATATAAAAAAATACTTTCAGATAAGTTCCATAGTTCTGGAAAGGGCAAGTGAAAACAAGAAGGTACTTATCTCAAACCAGAAAAGAGAGAGAAACTTGAAGAATCGTGTTGTGAATTCTATGTGCAGGGCAGCTTCTGAGCTTCTTGAAATCGAACCAGTGCTGCGAGATGGGATTCCTGTGATCAGGAGGTTCACCGGAGGTGGTACTGTTGTTGTTGGCAGTGGCACAGTTTTTGTTACTTTGATATGCAACAAGGAGGCTGTTGCTGACTTGCAAATGTATCCAAGGCCTATTATGTCCTGGACCGGCCTTTTCTATGATAGAGTATTCCAAGGAATTGGTGATTTCCATCTTCGTGAAAATGGTATTTAAATAGACCCCAGAAGTTGATTTTGCTTTTATTATTGCACAAGCATATGTAATTCGTACATAATCACTTAGTGAGCATCCTTGGCTTGTCTGCAACAATTAATGTTTCTTGTGTTATTTTACGTAAATGAGGGGAAGTTTAATCTTTTCGTTGGTCATATATTTCTTTCTTAAGTTCTTTGTTGAAATTTAGATCCTTATGATTTTTGTAGGTTATAAATTGACATCCAATATCCATCTTGTTGAATCTTGAATGGTGCTAGTGATACATATTTGTTTTACATGAGTTAGATTTTAATGGAACATGCTCTCAGAAAGTTTACTTGGTACCATCTGATTTTAGATTATGTATTTGGTAATCGCAAGTTTGGTGGGAACGCGCAATCCATAACTAAGAACCGGTGGATCCACCACACATCATTTTTGTGGGACTATGATGTCAGAAACATGGCCTACTTAAAACTCCCGAAACGGGCGCCAGAATATCGACTGGTATGGTGAATTCGATTTATTCTTTGGTTTTAAACACTTTCTTATTACTATTACATACATATCAGTACCTTGTAAAATTTTTTTTTCTTCCTTTGATATTTTTATTCCTGCTCTTATGGACTTTGTTCTCTTCAACTCTTATTGTTTGCAGCTGCTAAAATTGGCTGTCAGCATTAATACCGTATCATTGCATGCTAATCCTCTATAATGACTAATCAAATTGAAGTATTTATGTCAAATAGAGTTTCTTTCTCTTTAAATTTCTGTTTGAAGCTGGGATCTATATGGTATAGTTTCACGGATATTTACTAGCCGGGGCTAGCAATAGATTGGGTTTCATTTGTGAATTAGGTTTTAGTACAAGGCGTATGAGATCTACAATTGCTTGAACTTTGATGTTAGATGGATAGGTATCGAAAACTTTGAGCTGAAATCCAAAATCAAAGTGAATGTTATAGTGGGTATCTAAAAAAATAGTAGCCTCGTCTTGCAGTCTGCTAGTCTTGCATACCAAAAATATGGTTGAATCTTGTAGTGAATTTGATTTGAAAAATACCGAAGTTTGGGCACCACTTGGTGATTACATTTCTACGAGATAGATTCAGATTGGCAAAGAAACAGGGGAAAATATTTATTTGAACAATCATAAAGCAATCAATATGTACACAATGGTCTAGTTTGAGATTGCTCTCATTTCATGGTTTTTTTCTTCCAGTTTGCTTGATTTGAATTTGCAACTCTTTTCTGTTTTTCCTCCAAATGACCCGTTCAACTCTTATGTTATGTTGTCTAACCTTTTAAAACCTTTATATAATGTTTGAGCTATTTACTCTGGTGGCAGGCAAGGGACCATTTGGAATTTATATGCCGCATGAAGGACTATATGCCAAGATCAGTGTTCATTGACAAAACTGTCGAAGCGCTAGGAACCGAATTCTCCGTTAGATCTGTCAAGTCGGATGGCTTGGCTTCTTTCTTGAACACAAAGTTCAGTCCCTCTACTAGGCTCCTGACCAGGCAGGAGTTGGAGGCTGCAGCTTTTGCTTCGCCGGTTGAGATCGCCCTCTCATGATCATCATCAGCTCTGAAATAATTTCTCTCAGTTGATTATTATTCATGATTAAGGAGGTGCTTTAATCAAGCAAAGCAACTCCTAAATTTGGTGATTGAAGGTTTTATTAAGGAGGGGAACTTGGAGGGAGCTAAGCAGCAGTAAGCAAGGCGGTTTGGATCTTTAATTTCAATCACAAATCTCTCCTTTACTCTCCAACTTCTCACTTCATCAAACGACATCCTCCAAAACTCCACTCTGATTGGAATAACAAATTGAATGGACCAACTTCAACAAAACTAAAGAGAAAAAAGAAACAATCGCTCCAAATTCAAATTTTAGCTCAAATTCGAGTTCAAACTCAATTTCTAAAAAAAAAAAAAAAAAACATGAACTAAAGTTAAAACTCAAACTCAAACTCAAGTTTTAACCTGAGTTTGGTTTTTTTTTTTTTTTTTTTTTTTTCCAAGATATTATCTTCTTGTTGTTCATCTTGTTTGAATTAGTTATAAGTGATGAATTGTTTAAATTATTATTGTTTACTGTCTTGGTGTTTTCGCTTTTCTTTTCCTGACAAAAATCTGGATCTTGGCTTGCCTTTCGTTATCACCCTTTCTTATAGCTCTATTTAATCTATCATCGGTGTTAATTCCCCATTTTAGGACTTATCTGTAATATTTTTATGCCTTTTTCTTTTGCAGGATTTTGACGATGAGGCAAAAAGTTCTTAGTGGCTTAATGAGATTTGTTAGTTGATTTGTAGATAAAGTTTTGCCATCGTCTAATAAAGCTTCTTAATAAAGCAACTTATGAATATTCGATAAACTAGGAAAAGAATGGATTCTAACTCAGAACACTTCGTGAATAACTTTCTTTGTAGACTTTGCCGATAAAAATACTGGCAATTAGGTCCTGATCTTCATTATATACTTACATATATGTTATGTCTCACTAACTTCAAATAATATTTGTCAATTTTCTCTCAATATAATCTTTTTTATCGCAAGAACTAAAAACAAATTTTACAGGCGAAAAAAAAAAAAAGAAAGAGATGGATAGATGGTATGATTAATTCGGTTGTTATACATCAATTCAAATAAAATTGTTGGGTGACAGGAATCAGTAGGTGCACCAGGAAATCCCAACTAGGTTGGCACCCTCATTATTTATCCACCCTTAACATATCATTAAAATGATAAATAGTTCATAATAAGACCAACTAATTACAATCGTTCTATCTAATGACCCATCTAAGAAAACTCAAAACCAAAACAACTAAGAAAGGAGGACAAGTGGGAAATAATATCAAGCAGATTCTGACGACAGAAGACATAGCCTAAACTACGCATTTGATAATTAAAATTTATGATAGGCCTATTAAAAGGGTGCCTATGCCTGAAAAGTATACATAATACCCGCAAATCAACTAAACCTATAGTAACGCTTACTAAACCTAAGACCGTTACATAAAACTAAAACAAACTAAACCATCTTAGGTTTGTTGGAATGAAACTCTATAAATGACTAGAATATTCTGCGATCTGAAATAGGTCATCCATGGTCCAAGGGGCCTCGGTGAAAATCGCTTCTTGAAACTGCTGTTGGATGTCACTGTTGGAGTTCGCATGAGAAGCTGAGGAATATTTTGCTTGTTGAATGTCTATGTTAGTGTTGATTATAACTGTAGACTCCAACGCTGAGTTAAGTCGAGTCTTAGACTTGGTTTCCTCCTTTTCGTTTAGATACACCTTGCAAAGGAGCCAATCATCCAACTGCAATACCAAATCATAAGAACTTTTAACCAATACAAATCGAAAGACAACATAAAAAATTTAGTGTTCGTATCAAATTAAGTTTAGTCTACTATTGGTCATATATATACATACCTGCACAAAATAATGATCAGGTAATCTGTATTCGTACATGAGCCAGTTGGTTTTTTGTCCTTCACTTTTGTAGTAGACTAAGGTCCTCCTATGTCCAACTAAAACTCCGGCGAGTTCTATTTTTACCTCTCCCGTTGAAGCTTTCCAAAATCCATTACTGCCATCTGTTATTCTACGTTGAAGACGTTTTCCTTTTTGATGCTTCAGCATCCTTTTCACAAAGATATACATTTCATGCTCTTTTTGCACTCCATACTTTTCTGTATTTACAATGTTGAATAATATTTGTATTAGTCAAACATAAAAACTGAACTCCGTGAAGGGTGTGGGGAAATTAGATAATCATTGGACATATATGTATAATACTGAAGAAACCCTGTAGTACTCCATAATATTTCTCCGTAGTACGTTTTAATATGTGAAAATTAAGAAACCCTTCATTGTATATAATACCGGCTTCCATATTATCTTTTACAAACTGATCAGGGGTGAAAAAAGAAAATAGAGGAAAAGATATATACAACAAATCAAAGAAAAAAAAAATAACGATTATCAACAAAAAGAACATGGAATACAAATTAGAAGAGCCACACGTCTTTTGTTAATATTGGTGTTCAATGATAATCAACTAGTCAGTTTCCGGTTCGGTCATATATATAACAGTTAAGAATAATATAATATTATTCATTAACATAACAATTTAAATCAAAACAGAAGTGCATAGAAATTGAAAACAATAAAAGACAAAATATTATTTATCATCTTGACTAGTACGTACTGTTGATCACCAAGATTCAAGAACTACATATAGGTTAAAACGAAACGTACAATATTCAAGAAATCATTTTCATATCGTTGAAAGACAGATCAAATCAAAAACGAACGTAAAAACCAAAAAAAAAAAAAAAAAAAAAGGCAGAAACCTATTTTTTCATGCACATCGTGGATTGAAGAGAAAAGGCCAACCAAAAAGACGTAGAAAATGTTCGAGTATGCATATGACAAGAACCGATACTAATAGGAATAATAATAATAATAATAATGAAAGATTGATGGAATGTATAAATTACCTTGGAGTTTCTTAGGAGTGTAGTTGTAAAGCTCAAGTTCTTGGAATCTGTTAGTGGGATCTTGAAAAGGCTTGTTCATGACTTTGTTAGCTAAATAGTAATCGACCAATTCTACTTCAGTTGGTGAAAATCTGATGCCTATTGGAAAAAGATTCACAGGTGTGATCTCCATTGTTGAAGACGATCAACGTTTACAAAGAGTCAGACTTTTTAGAAGGAAGGTGAGGACAAAAAAGCACTTACAGAAGAGAGAAAATAATTATGATGAATGAAACTAGTTGAGTTTCTTAGTATTATATACACGAAGAGAATTTCCTCCTTATATATATGTGCAATACTCAATAGTTCTATTACCAGTAGAACTATACTAACTTACTTTTTAAGCAATGAAACTTCATGATTAATTAGTATTTAGATATATATTAGCTCACATAATCTAAGTTATTAAAAATATATTTTCCATCTAATTCTTCTATGCAAATTAATTTCTAAGTCTTTTTGTTCAAAAAAGGAAAAAATACATGGAGAACTAAAACTCAAAAGATGTTATCTTTACATATCATGTCACTCAAGAACATAAACTTAACATTTATGCCACTCAATAATTCAATTTATCATAAAATCTATCAGATTAATTTTTTAAGATTAATAGCTCTTAAGGTATCTAAACTTTTAATGTGACAAATTGGTTCCTAAACTTATAAATGAGCTAAAATATCCCTAAACTAATAAATATTGAGCATGTAGTAATTATGTTAAGTGGTTGTCAAAAACTCGTGGTTTTTTTCATCAGGTGCTACACACATGATTGGGCAAAATGGTGGAATGACGAAACTAACTTTAATGGGTGTGGAGGAAAATTTGTGGTGAGTTAATATATGTTCTTTTCACAATTTGAATCATTTAAATTTAATTTTTTTATTAAGTTATTTTCTCTCACATAAATTTACTTTTACATTCAAGTTCTTCACCTTTAAAAAGAACGGATCTTTATTTTTTATTTTTTTCTCTATGAGAGAAACACACTCTATAATCTAAAACCCTCTGACCCAAAAAAAAAAAGGTTTGCTATTCAATCTTCTCTCGTCAATGAGTGGCCAACTGCAATTTCATGTCGTCATGACCATCTTTCGCGAGAAGGGGGTTAGGCAACCATTATACCGTAGCTTAAATGTTTCATTTTTTCTTTTTTCCTTTGGGCATTTCGTTTTTTGGGTTAAATCAGTTTAGTTTGTGTCGCGTTGGAAAAATTTTGTTGTGAAATTTGGCGAGTCCCTAATTTGTACATGGGGTTGACATGGGTTGATCACGCTAACCTTTCTAAGGTTTAGTAATTTTTTTTTTTTTTTTTTTGATTAATGGTGTCAAATGCTGTACTTTTTATAGTCTAGTAATTGAAGCTAGTTGGTAGTTTTGTAAATATTAAACGGTGATTATTTATTTATTTACTTTTTTGCGTGGAAGCCCCCTTTGGCACACACTTTCCAGGTTTAACCATATCTAGCTAGCATTTTGCAAACCTTTAAAACATTAAAAACTTCCTCACGAAAATAATAATAATAATAATAATAATAATAATAATAAAACATTAAAAACATTTGAAATCTTTCGATAAATCGTGTTTTTCCTTTACTTTTCATACTTCATAAACTTTCCAAGAAAGTGACAGTTCATAACATCTCATTGAAAGTTTTAAACATGACAAAAAATAATCAAAACACTATATCATATAATTTTAAGTTTTCATCACATAATAAGTAGAATTCTTACTTTTTTTTTAAATCGATCTATTGCAGATGAGTGGAGTCCACCGTTGAGAAGGCTTTGCTAGAAATAATAGGTTCTTAAGAGATTAAAAACTAATTGAACCCCTGAATCCAAAAGCACACTATCGAATCTTAAAGCATATAGAAAAATTGATGGGTTTTTTTTTTTTTTTGATTCACCTCCTGCTCCTGCTGCCGGTAACGGAACGACGTCAATCATTTTAGTTGGAATCCGATCAGCAACCTGAGAAAACCAAAGGAAGCTTGGAGGGATTTTTGAACTCTTCTCTTCTCGTCCTCTCTCCACACTCACACAGACCACACCATCGACATGAACACACCCACACGGGGGTTAAAACCAAAATCTCCTTTTAGTTTTATTTCTGTTGTCTGCCCTTTAATCAAAATGGGTCCATTTTGGGCCTTAACGAGAAGGTTGAGATAAAGAGAGAAAATTTGGCCCAATAGGCTGACTAAATATTTAGAGAGAGTGAGTCCAAGGGCTCTAAGCACATTAGTGATAAAATTGTCCATCCCATTATGGCCCTTGTTATAATACCATGCATAAACCATATTACAATATATAATTGTCCATAAAGCCATACTCTAATTTGTGACATATTTGAGTGAATTAACAATGATTTGTGCTAGTCTATATAAATATTCCAACATTCTCCCACTTGGATAGTACAAATCAAACGACAAACATACATTCACTCAATACAAAATGTCCACGAACAAAGATCTCACACATGAGCCAAATGCACAAAACAATTATGCATAACATTGCATCGACAAGATGCAAATATTATACATAATCATTCTTTCAAGATTCGTAGAGCATCACAATGATAATTATCTGGATCCATTAACAAAACGAGACTAAAACCAAATGTCTCCAACCAACTTGTCACTTTGCATATAAACATATGTGCATAACATACAACAAAGTGACAATGATCCATAATATGCATGTATTATGTATAACACATAAGTAGTCCTCACAAAATAACATGTCATTCATACATCACATGGTGGACTCCCACTAAATCAATACAACTTTAGGCTCCTAACAATCCCATATTAGAGACGTGCTCATGAAACACACATATAGGTAAGCCTTTGGTTAGTGAGTCTGCCAACATGTTATTGGTAGGCGTGTATACAACATCGATGAGGTGTTCTGCAACTTTCTCTTTAACAAAATAATACTTGACATCAATGTGCTTGGAGCAAAAAGTGCTCCTAGCATTGTGATAGAAAGATACAACTATAAAATTATCACAAAAGAGTTTCAGCAGTCTATGAATTGAGTCAATAACTCCCAAAGCTAAAACAAAATTCCGTAGCCATATTGTATGACAAGTAGCCTCATAACACGCCACATACTCTGCCTCCATGGTTGAGGAAGCTGTAAGTGTCTGTTTAACACTTTTCCACGAGACAGCTCCTCTTGTCATCATAAAAATATATCCAGAAGTGGATCTCTTGTCATCCACGCAACTTGCATAATCAGCGTCACAAAAGCCAACAATATCAATAGTGTCGGAACACCTATATGTCAACATATGATCCTTGGTACCCTGAAGGTACCTCATGACTTTCTTAGCCGCTTTCCAATGGCTTATCACTCAAGTATCTACCGAGCACGCCCACAGCAAATGCAATATCAGGTCGCGTGCATAACTGAGCATACATGAGGCTGCCACCAACTGATGCATACGGGACAACTTTCATCTGATCTCTTTCTTTATCATTCTGTGGACATTGGGCCTTGGAAAACTTGTCACCCTTAACAATTGGTGCCTTACCAGAAGAACAAGAGTGCATGTTGAACCTCTTTAGAACACGTTCAATGTAGGTTCTCTGAGACAATTTGAGAATAACATTACCCATGTCTTGAAGGATTTGTATTCCCAAAACATAAGAGGCTTCGCCAAGATCCTTCATATCAAAATGGCTAAATAGCATTTGCTTTGTCTCAAACAATAGGTCGGTGTCATTAGAAGCGAGCAGAATACCATCAACATACAAAGACTAGAAGTATGTAACTACTCTTATTGACCTTCATATATATGCATTGATCAACACCATTCTCCTTGAAACCATTGACGGTGACTATATGATCAAACTTTAAATACCACTGCCTTGATGCATGCTTTAATCTATAAATGGATTTCTTGAGCTTGCAAACTAAATGTTCCCTACCGGAAGCTTTAAAACAAACAAGTTGAGACATGTAAACATCCTCATTCAAGTCTCCATTCAAGAACGCAGTTCTCACATCCATTTGATGAAGTTCTAAATCAAAATGAGTCACAATTGCCATGATAATCCTGAATGAGTATTTAGTGGAAATTGGCGAGAAGGTTTCTTTATAATCAACACCTTCTCTCTGACTAAATCCCTTAGCGACAAGCCTAACTTTAAACCTTTCCACTCGTTCTTCATAGTCACACTCGATCTTGAATACCCACTTACACCTAATAGGTTTACAACCCTATGGCAATTCCACTAAATCCCACACATCATTTTGTGACATAGAACTCATCTATTCTTTCATGGCATCTATCCAGAATAAGGATTGAGAACTACTAGTGGCTTCCTGATAAGTGATGGGTCAGAAGCACCACTAATGTCATACTTATGTTCCTGCAAATAAACAATATAGTCATCTGAGACTGCATGTCTACGAACCTTCTGTGACCTCCTTAAAATAATATCACCACCATCTGTATCTGGCATCTCCTGCATTGTTTGATCTGTGGGTACATCATGAGTGACATCTTGTTTTGCATCAATCGTTGGACCAGCCACTGGAACATTAAGCATAGGTATGGTGACAATAACATGTTCTTCCCTGAATACGATCTCTCTTAGTCCTTGACTGGAAGAAAAATCATCCTCAAGATAGATTGCTCTGTCAGACTCAATCATTTTGGTGGTGTGATTTGGGTAGTAAAAGCTCAAACCTCTTGATCCGACACAATAACCAACAAAGAAACCACTAATGGCCTTCGGATCAAGTTTCTTAGATTGCAGATTAGAGGGTCTCACTTCGGCTTTACAAACCCATACATGGAAATGTCGCAAGCTTGGCTTCTTACCAGACCATAACTCATAAGGTGTCTTTAGAACAGACTTACTTGGCACTTGATTCAAAATATAAGTTGTTGTCTTCAAGGCCTCACCCCATAAAAACTCTGGCAATGTAGAATGAATCAACATACATCGCACCATATCAAGAAGGGTGCGATTACTTCTCTCCGCAATCCCATTCTGTTCAGGAGTTCTTGGCATCGTATACCGAGCATTAATGCCACATTCCTATAAGAATCTGGCAAAAGGTCTGAGATTCCTTCCAGTTTCACCATACCTGCCATAATACTCACCACCTCTATCGGAG